GCCTTGGGGGTATTACCTGCTGATTTGGATATTTCTCGAATTCTGATTTTTAATTTTTTTTCACATTCATCAAATTCTGTTATTAACTTATCCTTAATAGATATTTCTTCATCTTTTTGTTTATTTTCTTTTTCAAGTTGTCGAACAATTCTTTTTAAATTTATAATTTCTTTCATCATTTCATCTTTTTCTTCATTAGAAAGTTCAATAGTATTTTCTAGTTCCTCTTCAAGAAATCAGATTCTTTCTTCACGTATAACAATAGCCCTTTCTAAAGTATATACTCGTTATTCTATGCTCCTATTTGATTGGGCTAAATGCGATATTTTCTCATGGAGCTCCTGATTAGTTTGTCTTAATTCTTCCATGTTTTTTTTTACTAACTATAATAGATTAGAAATGAAGTTTCATTGTTTTTCAATAAGTAATAGAACAATCTGTAATTTATATTGACCCGCAGAAGGCCCGTGAATTGGATAGGGAGATTGCAAAACAAAAGCCTACGATTTTTATTGATTCTCAGAAAGCTCATGATTTAGACTGGTATCTTGCTTTGCAAAAACTATATTATCGTCCTGAGGGTCTTTATCAAAATACTAAGGGATTATGGGACGCTTGTAAAAAAGCTGGCTACAGCTTTCCATTTACTGATGTAAAAAAATGGCTTGATAGGCAGGCAATGTATCAAATTTTTCGTCCTTCACCAAAGCATATACCTTATGCCAGTTACTTTAAAATTATAAAGCCAAATACTATGCACCAATGTGATTTAATCGAAATACCATATGATGAAGATATGGATACAAATTTACTAGATGATGGCCCAATATATTACTATGTACTATTGGTTATAGACTGTGCGACTAGATATAAAGATTTCGTTTTTTTAATATTAAAGAGCAGTAAGAAAGTTGCGGAAGCATTTAAGAGTATATATGATAATTCCAATAAGCCTCTCAACTGGCCTCGAAAAATGCAATATGATATGGGTACTGAGTTTATGGAATACTGACTTTATTAATGGATGAACATGGTATTGAAATCCGAAGAATTATAGCACATTTCAGGCATACAAGTTTCACAATGATCGATTGTTATGCTGGATTATTCGAATATAGAGTTTTTAAAAATCAGTATTCGATAGAGTTTCTCCTACCTACTGGCAAGTGCTGTAGAGAATGTGAACGGTTTGCAAGAAAAATTGTTGATAATATGAATGATAGCCTAACTCGATTAATTGGGATGAGTCCTAATGATGCCACCAAACTTGAGCGGATATATTCTGAACCATCAGTAAAATATAATCGTCCAATAGGTGTTGATGAACCACAACTACCAAAGAGTACTACTATCCGATTTTTGCTCGCTCTGGAGAGTAGGAAAATGATCCTTTCGAATGACACAGAATAACAGATCTGATATGGTCTCCCAGCCTGCATAAGATCCGGAGAATTGTTGTTGAGAGAAACCCCTCAATGCAGGTTTTATATTATTTAGATAATTCAGGACCTCAGTGTCTCTTTGTTAGAGAACAATTAATACATATTAAGAAAAAGCCTATATTACCCCCTAGGTGGATATTGGAAGATAACCGAACGCGTATAAGGTGCTTTTTATAAAAGTTTCTAAGTCAACGATGCAATAGGATATTGTAATAAGAATTACCCCTTCTCTATAACATAACGATCTTTTTTTCCAATCACGTCGAATTTGTGCATCCAAATCTTTTTGACCTTGTGGGTGAAAAAAAGGTACGATCTGATAATGTTGACTACCGCTGAATT